GGTGGAGTGTCCTACGGACATCGGGCGCGTTTTCAGACACTGAGCGACACACAGTTGAGGCCAAACTTCACTAACACAGACAGATTACACGCGTCACACGTGACTTTCAACGCACCCTTCAGCGGGTGGAGTGTCCTACGGACATCAGGCGCGTTTTCAGACACTGAGCGACACACAGTTGAGGTCACACTTCACTAACACAGACAGATTACACGCGTCACACGTGACTTTCAACGCACCCTTCAGCGGGTGGAGTGTCCTACGGACATCAGGCGCGTTTTCAGACACTGAGCGACACACAGTTGAGGTCACACTTCACTAACACAGACAGAGAACACGCGTCACACGTGACTTCCAACGCACCCTTCAGCGGGTGGAAGTGTCCTACGGACATCAGGCGCGTTTTCAGACGCTGACCGAAAAACAATAGAGTTGACACTTTTTCTATCTCAGAAAAGTCAAGTTCACGGATGAAAGTTTCAATTACACCACAACACATGTTTCTGAAAATATTGCCTCCAAAGTCAATGGCGGAAACGTGCCATACAGCTCCGGTCAGATTGGCGAGGTAGCCGAAGCCAAAAAAAGTAGCACCCATTGTCAGGCATTGTACGACTATAAGTTTGTGAAGAATCTGTATGTCACATTTTAGTCACCTCAGTTTGATCAGGCCGCTCTGGTGAGCAGACACTACTTGTTTAATATAGGGGAGAGGGGGAGGGTGGACTCAGGAGGTCCGGTAATTCAGTGTATGTGTCTTCTATAAGGGTAGATATAAGAAAATCCAACTTCACGGATAAATGTTTCAAATATACCACCACACGTTTCTAATAAGTGTCCCAAGCATCAATTGCGGAAGCGCACGATACAGCCCTGGTCAGACTGGCGAGCTGACCAAAGCAACAGAAAATGTACCACTAATGGTCAGGCATTCTGCGGTTATAACTTAGTAAAGCGTCGGCTTCTCACATTTGAATAAAACGTCCTCTCAGTTTGATCTGGCGGCTCCGGTAAGCAGACACTACGTGTTACTATAAGGCGAGGGCGGAACCCACTAATTCAACGTATGTTTTTCATAGAAAGGCCATATTACGTTTGATGGTGATGATGATGATGATTCTTTGAGAATTTAGCACATCCCTACTGAAAAGGTCACAGGCGACTATTGATATCTCTCAAACGATAATACTATAGTTAAATAATGTTTGTAGTCTAAATGTTTCTAGCTTTTGCTTTTTCTTTGAGGGGGGGGGGAGGCATGCAAAAACTGTAAGTCATGCATAGCTATTAGTTCCGCAGCACTGGGCTTGGCGTATCTGTTAATACACAACTACTAAACGCAAGTCTTCAGCGCCTGTGATGCGGCCTTTGGTGGATAGGCGCGACAACTGGCAGCTGGATTGCGTTTAAACAAACTTTTTTTTTGGTTTTTTTGTTTTTTGTTTTTTTTGTTTTTTTTTTTCTTGGGGAGGGCATGCAAGCAATGTAACACTCATGCGTAGCTACTTGTTCCGGAGCACAGCAACTGTGTGTGTCCGTTAAATAGGCAACTACTATAAACGCAACACCTCAGTGATCGGTGTGCGACCTTTGGTGGATAGGCCTGTCACCTGGCTGCTGTGTTGCGTTTAAACAAAAGTTTTTTTTTGTGGGTTTTGTATTATTTGTTTTTTTTTTTTGTTTTTTTGTTTTTTTTTGGGGGGGGGGGAACGGCATGCAAGAGACGTAACAGTCATGCTTGAATGTTTGCTCCGGACCATAAGAACCTAACCTAACCTTCTAAGACAACACCACACATGTCTAATAATGTTTCAAGCGTCAAGGGCGGAAACGGGTGATAAAGCCCTGGCCAGACTGGCGAGCTGGCCAAAGCCACACAAAGAAGGCAATCCCAGTTGTAGGCAGCCGCCGCAAACTAAGACCACGGTCAGACCCTTGCGGGGTCACTTTTAAATGACTACTCATCTCATCAGTTTTACCTGGCCGCCCTGGTGATTAGATAGGATGGGAAGGGTGCTAAGGACGGGGAAAGGGGCGAAGGTACAGGCGAAGTAAGGTCAAGTAATTCAGCGCCACGCAAAAGAAGGCAGTCCCAATAGTAAGGCAGCATTGTCCGAAGAGTTACTAAGTGATTCACGGATAAATGTTTCTAAGACAACACCACACATGTCTAATAATGTTTCAAGCGTCCAGGGCGGAAACGTGCGATACAGCCCTGGCCAGACTGGCGAGCTGGCCAAAGCCATAATATATGTTCTAAATGCACCATCACACATATTTCTCATAAATGTCCGAAACGTCATTTGCGGAAACGTGCAATACAGCCCTGGCCAGACTGGCGAGCTGGCCAAAGCAACACAAAAGAACGCAATCCCAATTGTAAGGAGGCAATATTGTCCGATGAGTTGCCAAGTATATGTTTGCCACATTTTAATACGACTTTCTATCAGTTTGATTGGGTAGCACGTCAAGCTGGGGCCGAGGGGAAACGTGCGATACAGCCCTGGCCAGACTGGCGAGCTGGCCAAAGCCATAATATATGTTCTAAATGCACCATCACACATATTTCTCATAAATGTCCGAAACGTCATTTGCGGAAACGTGCAATACAGCCCTGGCCAGACTGGCGAGCTGGCCAAAGCAACACAAAAGAACGCAATCCCAATTGTAAGGAGGCAATATTGTCCGATGAGTTGCCAAGTATATGTTTGCCACATTTTAATACGACTTTCTATCAGTTTGATTGGGTAGCACGTCAAGCTGGGGCCGAGGGGAAACGTGCGATACAGCCCTGGCCAGAGTGGCGAGCTGGCCAAAGCCATAATATATGTTCTAAATGCACCATCACACATATTTCTCATAATTGTCCGAAACGTAATTTGCGGAAACGTGCAATACAGCCCTGGCCAGACTGGCGAGCTGGCCAAAGCAACACAAAAGAACGCAATCCCAATTGTAAGGAGGCAATATTGTCCGATTAGTTGCCAAGTATATGTTTGCCACATTTTAATACGACTTTCTATCAGTTTGATTGGGTAGCACGTCCAGCTGGGGCCGAGGGGGCGCTACTCCCCTTACTGTCCAAAGTCATAGCCGCCGCGAACTATGAAAGCGGTCAGCCGCCTGCGGGGTCAATTTTAAATATGACTACTCATCTCATCAGTTTGATCCGGCCGCTCTGGTGAGAAGATGCTACGTGTTAAATATGGGGAGGAGCACGGACTCAGGAGGTCCGGTAATTGAGTGTACGTCTTCTAATATATGTTCTAAATGCACCATCACACATATTTCTCCTAATTGTCCGAAACGTCATTTGCGGAAACGTGCAATACAGCCCTGGCCAGACTGGCGAGCTGGCCAAAGCAACACAAAAGAACGCAATCCCAATTGTAAGGAGGCAATATTGTCCGATTAGTTGCCAAGTATATGTTTGCCACATTTTAATACGACTTTCTATCAGTTTCATTGGGTAGCACGTCCAGCTGGGGCCGAGGGGGCGCTACTCCCCTTACTGTCCAAAGTCATAGCCGCCGCGAACTATGAAAGCGGTCAGCCGCCTGCGGGGTCAATTTTAAATATGACTACTCATCTCATCAGTTTGATCCGGCCGCTCTGGTGAGAAGATGCTACGTGTTAAATATGGGGAGGAGCACGGACTCAGGAGGTCCGGTAATTGAGTGTACGTCTTCTAATATATGTTCTAAATGCACCATCACACATATTTCTCCTAATTGTCCGAAACGTCATTTGCGGAAACGTGCAATACAGCCCTGGCCAGACTGGCGAGCTGGCCAAAGCAACACAAAAGAACGCAATCCCAATTGTAAGGAGGCAATATTGTCCGATGAGTTGCCAAGTATATGTTTGCCACATTTTAATACGACTTTCTATCAGTTTGATTAGGTAGCACGTCAAGCTGGGGCCGAGGGGGCGCTACTCCCCTTACTGTCCAAAGTCATAGCCGCCGCGAACTATGAAAGCGGTCAGCCGCCTGCGGGGTCAATTTTAAATATGACTACTCATCTCATCAGTTTGATCTGGCCGCTCTGGTGAGAAGATGCTACGTGTTAAATACGGGGAGGAGCACGGACTCAGGAGGTCCGGTAATTGAGTGTACGTCTTCTAATATATGTTCTAAATGCACCATCACACATATTTCTCCTAATTGTCCGAAACGTCATTTGCGGAAACGTGCGATACAGCCCTGGCCAGACTGGCGAGCTGGCCAAAGCCACACAAAAGAACGCAATCCCAATTGTAAGGAGGCAGTATTGTCCGATGAGTTGCAAAGTGTATGTTTGCCACATTTTAATACGACTTTCTATCAGTTTGATTGGGTAGCACGTCAAGCTGGGGCCGAGGGGGCGCTACTCCCCTTACTGTCCAAAGTCATAGCCGCCGCGAACTATGAAAGCAGTCAGCCGCCTGCGGGGTCAATTTTAAATATGACTACTCATCTCATCAGTTTGATCTGGCCGCTCTGGTGAGAAGATGCTACGTGTTAAATATGGGGAGGAGCACGGACTCAGGAGGTCCGGTAATTGAGTGTACGTCTTCTAATATATGTTCTAAATGCACCATCACACATATTTCTCCTAATTGTCCGAAACGTCATTTGCGGAAACGTGCGATACAGCCCTGGCCAGACTGGCGAGCTGGCCAAAGCCACACAAAAGAACGCAATCCCAATTGTAAGGAGGCAGTATTGTCCGATGAGTTGCAAAGTGTATGTTTGCCACATTTTAATACGACTTTCTATCAGTTTGATTGGGTAGCACGTCAAGCTGGGGCCGAGGGGGCGCTACTCCCCTTACTGGCCGAAGTCATAGCCGCGGCAAACTATGACCACGGTCAGCCCCCTGCGGGGTCAATGACACCACACGTTGACAAATAGGAAGGTGCTGCCCACACAGGCGGAGAAAAGTGATGGAGAAAATCCTTTAAAGAGGAAAAAGTTCACCAACGGCACTTCATCTACCCTTACCCTACCACCCGACTGCTCAGAGCACCTCCCGATAAACCACGTTGCGCGTCTGAAGGTTGCGCGGAGCCAGCACCTCCACCGCAGCGAAGCTACCTACGCGTGAAAGGGCTACGTACAGCTGACCGTGAGTAAACACCGGGGCCGGCAGGTAAATGCCTACGCGACGCTTTGTTTGGCCCTGGCAGCGGTTGATGGTCATAGCAAACGACAGTTTCACGGGGAACTGGAGACGACGGAACGGACGACCAATGCCAGAGTCTACTGCGCTCACCAGCAGCGGTAGCCGCGGGAGGAAGAGCAGCTCACCGCGTGCGATGCCGCTGGCGATGCGCAGCTCGAGTACGTTGGGTGCGGCGCGCAGCACCGTGCAGAGGGTGCCGTTCACCACACGCGGGGCGTTTAGATTCCTCATCAGAACGACCGGTGCGCCTACCTTTACCTGAAGCCGGTGGGAGGGCATGCCCGACACATCTATGGCGTTCAGCACCTCCGGGGGTACGATGGGTCCGACCTCTGCCTCATTGTCAATCTCAGTGAGCGTGTCCACGCTGTAGTATGTCATTGTCTCACCGGGCAAGAGTGCCAGAGCGGCGGTGTTTGCACTGTCCACTATAGCGTTGAGGGGGGCGAGGATGGTGCGCTCATGCAGCCACTCCTGATCTACATAGTTCTCGTCCATGTTAGGGAATATCCGGTCCACCAGCTCTGGGAGGCTGCCTGCCGGACTCACTACCTGCTCTGGGACCTGCACAGTGTCCGGCTCGGTGACGACGGGCAGCCGGCCATCGCCGACGCGCAGCAGGAAGGTGGCAAACTCACCCGCCTGGTCGTCACCGTTCCGTGCACGCATGTTAGTGGCCAGTTCCATCCTGTCTATGCGAGGCCATAGGGGCGAGGACTTCAAGCAAGCGTCGACTACCTGCGGCCGACCGCCGTTCCTAACTACTGGCAGGATCTGCCTCCAGTCCCCGGACATCAGTGTGAGGATGCCGCCGAACAGCTCACGGCTGTCGCGGACATCCTGGAGTGCCCGATCGACCGCCTCTGTGGCGCGCCGATTCATCATGCCCGCCTCATCCCACACGATCAGCCTACAGCGACGCAGATAGTCGGCCTGGGGCGAGCGCCGATCAATGCCGCACACATTGTCATTGTCATTGTGCAGGAGCACGGGGATTTTGAAGCGATAGTGGGCGGTGGTTCCCCCCTCCAGTAGGCTGGCCGCGATCCCAGAGGCGGCCACCGCCACGGCCACCTCTCCCCGACTGCGGACCTTGGCCAGCAGCAGATTCTCCAGGTACGTTTTGCCGCACCCGCCCGGAGCCTGCAGAAAGATAACGCCCGACTCGCCATTGTCGAGCCGCCGCAGCACCTCATCATACACGGCACGCTGGTCATCAGTTAGTCCCACCTCCTCACGTTCCACGCGCTCAGCCAGAACGACCGGATCAAACTGGGCACCGCCGTCCGGCTCGTCGTCCGGCTCGGCGGGGACGTCGAGCACCGGCGGCACCGGCAGCCCGTACTCTGCCAGTGTTTTGCCGCGCAGCCGCCGCAGAATGACGGCCAGCTTGCGCAGCGCCTCATCATACACCTCATCATCTGTCAGAGCGCGCCTGCCAGCAGCGCGCGCAACGTCCCGACGGCGAGCTATGTCCTCGGAAAGAACGTCCCTAAACCTCATCCACAGCTCTGCCGGGTTGCACGTCTCCTCACCCTCAATCAGAATGAGCGCAAAAAGAAAGCGCAAGCCACCCGGGAAGCGCGTCACGGAAGCCTCATCTAGAGCGCGAGCCCAGTGCAAACCATCCTCCAGGAGCCCCAGCTCCGAGCACGCCTCACGCATGGTGGCACACACGCGGCCATTCACCGTGCGCAGGTGCTCGTAGGAGCGCGGACCCCGCACGTTGTTGAGGAGCAGACGCAGAAAGAACACCTCTCCCGCGCGCGGCGTGGTTGTGTACATGCGTGAAAGCGTGTCCGACACGAACACCCCCGGCACGTCAGGGTGGGGCTGTCCCCGCAGGCGCCGCCGCCAGTGCGCGGGCCGGGCGTCTGCGCCACGGCCGCGCCGCACCTGCCACGTGTAGTAGCGCGGCACCTCCGTGTACAGGAGCGTAGCCGCGAACTCGTCTACCTGACACAGTTCAAAGAAGCTAGTCAGCATGGAGTGGTTGATTTGCTCCCCGTCCAGTACGGCATCGAGATTCGCGTCGTCGCGGAAGACGACGCGTCTCTCATCATTGTCCATGTGCAGCTGCAGCTGCTGTACGGGGGGATGGTGGCCGTGGATCGGTCTGTCCTGCAGACGCCACGCCGCCTCCATGGAGCCCAGGAACCTACTCTGCTGATACTGGGCCACCTCGTCAATGACGCCGTCCGGCTGCACGGCGAACATGATCATGTCAGTGCCTTTTGTCACATACTTTATGCAGTAGCGGATGGCACCCATGGCGTGTGTGATGACCTCTACGTTGACATGCGAGTCCATGGACCGGAGGATGTGGGGGTTGTAGGGCACGATCCAGCGATTGTCAATCTCGACGCCGCGCCGGCCGGGCGTCTGCCCACGGCGACCGCCCTGCTCCGGCGCGCGCCGCCTGTACTTGGGATAGGTCCGCTCGGGCACCTCTGTGACCGCCTGGTACTGCTTTGGGTAGCCGACACTACAGCGACCGTCCTTCATGCACGCGGACCGCGGGTTCAGCGCACCACACGGCCCGTGCACCATTTTGGCACACACGATGGCATGCAGATGCGGATCGGTCTGGGGATCAGGGACCTCGGCACACACACACGCGTCCACATCATTGGCACGGGGCTTGTCAGCCGGCACGACCCACAGCAGAATGTGAGCGTGCGGCAGACCACGCTTCTGCCACTCTATGGTGTACATAATGGCCCGCTGCCGACCCAGGATGCCGTCACGAAGCTGCTTGAGCAGCACCTGCAGTTTTTGATCAAAGACCTGACTGACTATGTCCGGGTGGTCACACGCCCGGTCGTGACCATCCGGCCCCTCCCCCGGGTACAGGGCCTGGAGGGTCTCCACGATCTCCGGCCAGGCCGGGTTACATGTCACAGTGATGAAGAAGTCAGCCGAGCCAAAGTCCCTAACATAGCAGAGGGCGTCCTGTAGTTTAGACATCATGTAGCGCGGGCTGCCGGTCACAGAAGCCGGCAGCACCACGCGCCGGCCGACGGCTCGGCCGACCTCCTCGCCGTCGGCGAGCGCGTCGCGCACGCCACGGATCGTCTCGGCACGGAAGCCGTTGAACCCGTCCTGGTGTTCACGCACATATGCGAGACGATCCGACTCCACCTTCACCTGTGTGTCTACCAGATACTGTTGGAAGAGCCTACCGCCTCTGGGGATCAGGTTGAAGTGTCCAGGCCTGTAGCGAATGTGGAAGGCCGCGTACTGGCGCATGGTGACGCCGCGTGCCGTTTTAAGCTCGATCGACCACCCGTCCGTGCCGTGGGGATGGAGCAGCACATAGCACAGGGGGTCATACTGGCGACTGAACTCATTGATGCGGAACAGCTGCCCGCCGCGCTCGTGGACGACGATGTCACGCGGACCGCGAATCTCGTCCGGCATGAGCACCGCCACCTCACGTCCCATGGGCAAGTTGAACCTACGCTCGTGCTCCGACCGGGGCCGATGGTCTGCGGACAGCACGATGCGGCTGTTGGGGACACCACGCGCCATCAGCAGCGCCGGCTGCAGTGCACGGACATAATTGTTGTGGACGTGCAGCATACCTGACAGAATGTTTAGCACCACCCGATCCAGGCCACCACACAGTGTTGCCCGGCGCTCGGTGGCCTGTTCCGCGTCCAGGAAATACAACTGCAAGAACCTTTCCTCACCGTCACGCACCGGCAACAGTGTTCCGATGCGGTGACAGACGTTACCCTGCACAGTGAATGCGGCGTGGGGTGCGCCCGCGTGTCTCACCACGTCACATCCCATGCTGGCCATTTGGAAGGCCGTGTTATATGCACGTATTTTACCCCGAAACTCATCATAGTACGGCGTGCCGGGAGTCATGAGCTCCACCAGCTCGTCCGGGGGCGGGGGATGGAAGTCTAGTTTCACCTTGCCCTGATGGCAGCAGGCACCTTTTGGTTCATTTTGCCAACGCAGCGCGCCACAGTGACCGCACACCGTGTCCATGCGACCCAACTGCATGCCCGCCGGTGGCTGGTACTGATCAGGGTCATAGTTCCTAGCCAGCAGGTGCTGGTCACGGGGACGGCGGACAGGAATGTTTGCCGGAGCTGGCCCACCAGCTCCGCCCGCTGCCGCTGCGTTAGGCGCATCGGCCGCTACCGGTTCGGCAGCATTGCCATCATCACCATCATTGTCAGGGTTGACTGGGGCGGGGGGAGGGTCAGGCGGGCCGGCCACCGGCGGTCCCGCTGCCGGGGCCCCGGGACCGACACCGTCTCCATCAGCTCTGTCCACACCATTGCCGTCATCATCATCATCACCATCATTGTCCGCGTTCAGTGGGGCGGGGGGAGGGTCGGCGGCGGCACCGGCCACCGGCGGTCCCGCCGCCGGGACCCCGGGACCGACACCGTCTCCATTAGCTCTGTCCATACCATCATCATCATCATCATCACCATCATTGTCAGCGTTCAGTAGGGCGGGGGGAGGGTCGGCGGCGGCACCGGCCACCGGCGGTCCCGCTGCCGGGCCCTCGGGACCGGCACCGTCTCCATTAGCTCTGTCCACACCATCATCATCATCATCATCACCGTCATTGTCAGGGTTGTGCGGGTTGGGAGGAGGGTCAGGCGGGCCGGCCACCGGCGGTCCCGCTGCCGGGCCCTCGGGACCGACACCGTCTCCATTAACTCTGTCCACACCATCATCATCATCATCATCTTCACCGTCATTGTCAGGGTTGTGCGGGTTGGGAGGAGGGTCAGGCGGGCCGGCCACCGGCGGTCCCGCTGCCGGGACCTCGGGACCGGCACCGTCTCCATTAGCTCTGTCCACACCACCATCATCATCACCATTATTGTCAGGATTGACTGGGGCGGGGGGAGGGTCAGGCGGGCCGGCCACCGGCGGTCCCGCTGCCGGGTCTGCCGCGACAGCAGCTGCCACGGCGCGATTTAATGCGGTGCGCTCACGGTCAAGCCGCCGACGCTCAGTGAGCTCTGCCTCTGTCTCCCGCTCCCTCCTAAGACGCTTACGCTGCCGGTCACGCTCACGTCTGGCTGCCGCGACATCCCCGGCAGGGATGGACGGCGCTGGGGCCGTGGAAGGCCCGGCGACGGCCGCATCAGCCTGCATACCATGAGAAGGACCCGCGCCACCAGCATCAACCTGCCTACCATTGGAAGGGCCTGCGCCACTGGCTTCAGCCCTTTTCCTGGCACGTGCCGCAGCCTTACGCTCACGGTCACGCTGCTGGCGAATAAGTCGCTCAGCTACAGTCTCCCTTGCCCTGGCCAGTCTTTGACGCTCACGGTCACGTGCCCGCCTAGCCGCCGCGGGGTCCAGCGGCTGAGCTCCTACCTGTGTGTTAGTCCCACCCTCAGCAATGTTAGCGGGCTGTGGCGCAGGCTGCAGCGGTGGCCCCGCAGGGTCCGCGGCAGTCGGCGGGGGTGTTTGGCCAGACATCGCAAGCGATTCTGAAAAGGAATAGAAGGAATGGGTTCAGGATTGGGTAGTTAAGTAGTGTCCACACAATGCAATTAAAGCAGACAAAATGGGGCAGGATGGAGTGGTATAATGCAATTAAAGCAGACAAAATGGGGCAGGATGGACTGGTATGCAGCGTAGGCTGACACTGTTAAAGCACACTGAACGCAATGCAGCCTTATGCGAATTCAGCGCTGGAGACATTTGTATCTGTAGGCAATAAAGATCAATACAAATCATCTCTAGGCATATTCATCACTGGACATATTTCAAAAGAAGATGATTGTTTTGCAAAATGTTTTTTGAATTAGTATTGTTTTGTTAGCTGTAAGAAAACATGGCAACTGAAATGTCAATAGGCACCAATGTGAATGGCACTTAAATGACAATGGGCAACAATGGGTGAAAGCAAATTGTTGCACTGAAAACCATGATGGATTATGCGTAATTTTGAAACAGAATGATTGGTTTCAAACACACTACAGATGGATATTAAAGCTTAAAATGCATGTTGTAAGCAACACTGAAATCAACCAAGCACAGCCATGTCAGGCAATGGGACACCAATAACTGTGCAAACACCACAATGAAATTGTTGCCTAACGGCAATGAAAACCATGGATGATGTGTACATTTCGAAACAGAATGATTGGTTTCAAAAGCACCACATTGAAATACATGTATGCAACATTGAAATGTGCCAAGCACACAATGAAATTGTTGCCTAACGGCAATGAAAACCATGGATGATGTGTACATTTCGAAACAGAATGATTGGTTTCAAAAACACCACATTGAAATACATGCATGCAACATTGAAATGTGCCAAGCACAGCCATTTCAGGCAATGGGACACCATTTACAGTGCAAACACCACATGACTGTTGTGGAGGATGTTTTTTGAAGTTATGGTTAGCTATGAAATTGTTGCCAACGGCAATGGTGAAAGCAAATTGTTGCACTGAAAACCATGATGGATTATGCGTAATTTTGAAACAGAATGATTGGTTTCAAACACACTACAGATGGATATTAAAGCTTAAAATGCATGTTGTAAGCAACACTGAAATCAACCAAGCACAGCCATGTCAGGCAATGGGACACCAATAACTGTGCAAACACCACAATGAAATTGTTGCCTAACGGCAATGAAAACCATGGATGATGTGTACATTTCGAAACAGAATGATTGGTTTCAAAAACACCACATTGAAATACATGTATGCAACATTGAAATGTGCCAAGCACACAATGAAATTGTTGCCTAACGGCAATGAAAACCATGGATGATGTGTACATTTCGAAACAGAATGATTGGTTTAAAAAACACCACATTGAAATACATGTATGCAACATTGAAATGTGCCAAGCACAGCCATTTCAGGCAACGGGACACCATTACAGTGCAAACACCACATGACTGTTGTGGAGGATGTTTTTTGAAGTTATGGTTAGCAATGAAATTGTTGCCAACGGCAATGAAAACCATGGATTGTGTACATTTCGAAACAGAATGATTGGTTTAAAAAACACTACAGATGGATATTAAAAGCTTGAAATACATGTTGTATGCAACATTTAAATGTGCCAAGCACAGCCATGTCAGGCAATGGAACACCAATTGCAGTGCAAACACCGATTGTAAAAGAGGACGATTGCTTTTGAGGACACGACAGTTTGAAATGAAGAGCTCAAGAAACATGCATTGAACTGCACCAAAACATTCCCAACACAGGGAATGGAACACTGATAGCAAAGTTTTAATGCAGCTGCGAACAATCTCAGGATGCTTGCATTAAGAGCATCATAAATTGCAGCACATGAAAACTTGAATTGCAATGCATTGCAAATTTATTCAAATCATTGCCAAAACCATTACCAACACTGGAAAAGTTGATGGTACCTATCTGTAGCTATTGCACGGCAATGCCATCAACATACAAACCTCACATATGCTTTAAGGGTCTGATTGAGGGTGTAGCATGTAATAATGAACAAATATTTGAAAGGCTATGGAATGGCAAGAAATGCATGCAGAGCCCATTGTCCAAGCGATACTGAGATAAAATCATTCACAGATGGCCCTATTCGGCAAATTTAAAATTGGAAGGAAACGACCTTGATGAATGTAAACACTTAAACACCCCAGCACAGCGCTTCCCATGAAACGCGCCGCATTCGTCACGCCGCAATGAAAGGCTGAATTCAAGCCGTCCCTAGTGAAATCCGTGCACCGGGACATTTAAAATGTATAAGAACGTTACGAATACTGATTTTAAATGGAAATCCTCGAGATTTGGGATCAAATATGCAATCAAAAAGACACAATTGCACAACACATCATTTCGAAACTGACTTTGGGCAAACACCAACGATTTTCGTAGTGACGATGAAGAGGATTTTTTTTTGTAATAATTACAGAATGAAATGACAGAATGCTGTGAGTAGAAGAAGTGGAGTATGAAATAATTTTAATAACACGTTACGTTATCTGTTTTTAATCAAAAACCTTATGCTCTTAAGATCGAAAATTCAGGTTATGGTAAAGTATCAGGTTATGCAGCAAAGCCCGTGTAATTAATAAAGTGGCACATCATTGGCAAACACCATTTACTCCCGTGATTTGTACCACCTTGATTTGGATCAATCAGCTTTTCACAATTTTTCATGAGAGGCGGTACATTTCTCTTGCCAATAGGCGTTGTTTCAATTCGTTCCGTCTGACGGTCACCTAAAAATAAATGTAATCTCAAAATCCGTCAAAAACAGCAATTTTTCAAATAAAAGTGCCCTCTCCGGCGCACGTGGCGCGTGCTATCCTCTGCATTGCACACCATTCAATAGCCCGTTGAATTCTGTACACGATGCTGTTTTCCCCGTGCCGGTCGGACCCCTGGTCACCAAGATATTGCACGGGGACTGGACCCTTGTCGGCCAAAATTAGCCGTTTTCGCCCGATTTTGCAAGCCGATTTATACATGTAAAGTCTATGGCGCAAATTTGCACTTTTTGAGCACGCACCACGCGCTCCCTACCAATCCGATCGAGCTGAGACCCCTCAAAGGCACGTCGCGCATCCTTGATCTATAAGTTGTGCAAATTTCACCGGGCCAGGTGCAACGGTCTGGCCTGTAGTCCACGCAAAGCACCGCCAAGTCGGGACCTCGGTAACGGACAGACGCACCCTCCTCAAATAGTATAGAAGACAAGCGGCTGCGCCACTTGCTTTGCTGCGTGGTAGGAAAAAATTGCGGCACCAGCCAATTTGCTTTCGAATGGTGTTTGATTCATGTCGATGTGTCGTCTAGAAGCATAGATATGGACGGAAATGTGAAGAGAATTTAAAAAATACTGCTCTGAGAACTTCGTTGGATGAAAGTTGGGTGATACGGGGTCAAGACGGGTCATAGGGGTCAGCCCTGGTCACTCTGGGTCAGGCCAGGTCACATAGGTCACCTCTCGTCTGATGGGATCAGCCCGGACCCCTGTTCTACTTTTGCCTCCACCACTACCCCTACCCCTACCACTACCCCTACCACTACCCCTACCACTACCCTTACTACTACCCCTACCCCTACTACTACCCCTACCCCTACCACTACTACTACCCATACTCCTAACCCTACCCCTACCACTACCCCTACCCTACCCCTACCCCTACTACTACCCCTACTACTACCCCTACCACTACCCCTGCCACTACCCCTACTACTACCCCTACCACTACTCCTACTACTACCCCTACCACTACCCCTACCACTACCCCTACCACTACCCCTACCCCTACTACTACCCCTACCACTACCACTACCCCTACCCCTACTACTACCCCTACCACTACCCCTACCCCTACCACTACCACTACCCTACCCCTACCCCTACCCCTACCAATACCGCTGGGTCATGTCAGGTCACAGAATAATTGGATCCAATCAGTACTAAAATATCAGACTTTAAGTGTTCCCAGCCCTGCCCCTATTCGTGCCATTCCACAACGCCGAATCGTATTTGTCGGAAATGGCGCATTGTGACAAATGTGGCGCATTGCGGCAAACGCGGCGCATTTTCACCCGGTGATTGAGCATGCATCTTTGCACCAAATTGCACCTTTATCAGACTATATTTGACAAAACTGTGCGATTTGCGGCAAAAATGACGCCTTGTGACCAATGTGACGCCTCGCGGCAAACGCGGTGCATTTGTAAATTCCATCACAAACTGTACCCATTTAGCGACAGTCAACACATTTTTTCGCCACTATTTATTCAAATTAAAACTTGCCCATCCGCCAATGCGAGGCACCCGCCGCCGATCGGCATGCATTTAGCTCACAAAGTTTGTCGACCCCGGCTCTCAATGAAGATATACGAACCGATCAAAATTT